GGATTCTTTTTTGTGGCAGCAGATGCCGGGCCCGATGTTTCTGGGCTTGGGGCAATGTGCACAGACTTGCAATGAACAAGCCGTTTGTGTAGACATATTCTCTCTGGAACAAACGTGGAAATGGACAACCCCCTTGTTTGTAGAGGAACATGGTCTTCCAAGGGGTCATTTTGTCCACTTCGATGTGAGTTTCAGGGGAGTGTATGAAAGAGAAATCATGTTGTTTTCTCTTGTTAACGCTCACTTCGCTTCCATATAACCATGTTGTATTCCACTTCCATAACACATGTTGTTTTCTGTCATTCCCCGCTTTCGAGGCTGCGAAACAGCGCTCACCCGAAGGTCCACTGCGGACGCCCCAACGAATCGATCGACCAAATGGCAGGTCCGACATCTTCCTCGGCCGGTGCAAGAGCGAGTAGAACATCTCATGCGAGATGTGGAGAAATGGTCCTTGGAGCTTCAACGCAAAAACGCCGAGGACGCCCCGGCTCGACGCGGCTCCGACGGCTCCGACGGGGGAAGAGTCTTCCGAATCGGAAGAGATCGGAATCGAAGGACGGCCATGGTCGCCGGCCAACGAAAAGGGGGGATTTGAAGAGGTCTTCTGGGTTTGAGTGAACTCGGAAGGCATATGGAAGCTGGATTTTTGGTGGGTTTGAGTGTCAAAAAAAGGCCGAGTCCAGTCCAAGCTTGGCATTCAAAGTGGTCAAGAACTTGTAATTGCTGGGGAGCTTGAAAGGCCGTCGACATCTCTTCCAGCCAACACTGGGAGTGTGCAGCCAACACGATCAAGCGAGAAGGTTACGGTTACACATGATATCACATGATACACATTGCTTGCTGATGTTTACAGAGCTGCCTCAGGATAGATTTAGACTCCAGTATTTCCAATCGGGTGCCGAACTTGGAGGATAGGGGTGCCCAGCTACTCCACTTACTTAGTGACTACCAACCACCCCGACATGTGACACTCCTGGCTGTTTGTTGTTGTTTTTTAGGTGACAACCTCGAACAAGAGGAGCCATAGATCACACTACCAACTCGGATAAACAGAAGTCAAAAACTTGGAGCTCTTGATTGACCATTTTGCTACTGCCAGGCAACTTCCTGAACCATAGGTTTCTCGAAGGGCTTCGCTCATTTATTTTTATTAATGTATTATGAGAGAAAGACTCAAGTTGAAAATTGTTTAAGTCAATCAAATGCTTCATGGTGTATGTTGGGTTGTCTTTTGTCACCGCTAGGACTGGAATCAGTGCAGTTCTGTCCTGGTGGCTTGGCAGAAAGGAACAAAAAGATAACACCATAGACCGGATCATTTCATTTTCTTGTGTTATTTCTGTTATGTTTTGTCGTGTTGCCTTTATTTCGGCCTTTTAAACTTTAGACCTAGACCGTTTCCCATTCTTTCTGTGTTTCTTAATTCTGTTGTTTAATTTTGGTTCTTGAATATTCGTGTGTTCTAATTAGAGTTCCTGCACAACGCTAGCTGTACTTGGGACCAACAACAGATCAATGACATTTTAGTGCCCCCCGTAAGAATCCCGCAATTGTCAAGTTCAGCCTACCCGCTTCACATCAATCTTGGAACTGCTGCGACCATCAGGTGCAATGTCTAAATGGAAGCTCTCAAAAGCAGCATCTGCTGCCATCAGGCAAGTTTCAGGTGCGTTGTGCTGTTGCTGAAATGTGGCAAGTTTTGAGAGCACCGATTCCAGCATCACCCTGTCAGGGTGGTTATAGACCCTTTGAATATGTTTACCATCCAATAACATTTTTTTGGGTGGTGCTGGTTGATAGGAGTTTTGTTTGCTTTTCTATTTTTGTTGTTTTTGTTGTGGTTAGACCGAGATTTGCCATCATCCGCCTCTATTAGGAGCTAGCCAAATGATTATTAAATAGGCTAGACGCACAACTAGACGTGCAGCATGTTTCGTTAGATCAATGTTGATGCAATATAGTGGTGTTGCTGTCAAGGCTGCGAAGGTTGGCAGACAGGTTTTGCATTGTTGCACGTCATAGGAGAGGTGCTTCTGCAGTTGATGTGTGTTGTTGGCGTTGCATTTCTTCCAATTCTTGTGCAGGTCTGAAAGACAAATAAAATCGGATAAGATGAGAGCACAGTTTTCTCAACGTCAAACTGCGAGACTTGCAGCTGGGAGCTAAGAAGTTCTTTCGTGTGACTGCCAGGATGAAGTCACTTCATGCAATCTCATGATAAATCTCATGACCGCATGGTCACGACTGCTAAAGGATTAAGCATTCCTGCAATATTTGCTTCCATGTTTGGCGACTAAGGTTTGGTTGGGATCTTTGTTGACTGGGTTTTGGCAATGTGCCCTATCTTCAGTCGAACTGTGCATGACTGCACTCCCCGGAAGCTAAGAACCTGGGAGCTGAGACATGGAGCGCTCTTTCCCCCGAACGGCGCTCTTTCGTGAGATGGTGCCGTTAGGGGGGTTCCCTTTTGGTCTCCCCAGACAGGTGGCACTTTTTTCAGCCAAGCATCATATGTTTCAGTGCTGGGGAGTGGGTGAGATGTCACCGCGTCGTTTTCAGCCAGACACCCAGTGCATCTCAGTTGCCACCGGTTTCTTCCGAGAGATCCCCTGTTTGTGGGACTAGCTAGCTTCACAGTCCTTCCTGTGGCAGCTGGGTTCACTGGGAGGCAATGTTCTTGCTTTGGCATGCGGCTTCCAGGTTAGCTTCTCGGGGGGTGTAGATTTCACTTGCTCTAGGTGACGCTGTTTGATGCGTGTGTTGAAGAACACCCGCCCAAAATATTGCAAGTTCCCTGACATCGGATGTCTGGACGTCACCCTTTTCGCCCGACCCGACGCTGTAAGCCCATCTGGATCTTTCCATTTATTTGCATCGGTTTCCCAGGCACCGGGGGGCATCGTCGAATGTGTGAAGTTAAGGACTCACAAGCTACGACAGGCATGCGTATTTGTTCCGCATGCAAAGACCTCGAAGAAAGGACCTTTGACATCGATTGCAGGGAATTTGTTCCCAACTGTTTGGCTGCTGGTCCAGTTGGCCACGCCTTTTTTGGCCAACTGTTCTTGGATTTTGCCAACACTTGAACTGAGCATGTCGTTTTGAGTTTTCAACGCGCGGTTTCGTGCACAGACTCCTGAAAGTAATGCGGCCATTTGCACCCTGAAGAAGATCCTCTATCAATACAGTGTTCGTCCAGATACGCTGCGTAGGTCCTGATTTTTCAGGTGTGCAATTCTTCCCGTTTTCGATCACCCGTTTTGGAGCGACGTCGTCGCATGAGTCGGAGTGGCAGATGGCCCCGTGGAGTCTTTGGTTCGGACGCGCTGTCTGGCTTGGCCATTCATCGGCACGCTCGGAGTGAGCGACAGACGGGTCCCCCCGGTCTGAGCGGGGGGGGCGAAGGGACTAGCTGCGACTGCAACATACCTCACCAGAGCACCACTTTTAAGGCGTTCATAGCGTTTCAACCATTCAAGTGCTAGGAGGTCGACATGGACGTGAAGGCAGTGCTCTGAGCCTTTCAAGATCAGTTGATGGCCAGCATTTCCCTGTGTATAGAATGTTGTTTTGGGTGATTTGTTGCATGCAGGCCAGAGTTGGCAAGAGGGTTCCATTCCTCAATTGTTCATCAGAGGCGTACGCTAGGAGTCCACTTACTTGGCCATGACTGGTATGTACATTCATCACTTTCAGTGTTTCGGTGCTGTTATAGACTAAGAGACTCCAGAAACACCTAAAGACACTCGTCATACACTCGTGCGGCACTCAGAACACTCGTGCCAGCAGCTTCCAAGGAAGAACTCTGAGACCAAAGAGTTGAACTCCCACGTTTTCCTGACTGGATACGACCATCAGTGATCCACCATATACTATGCCTGCAAGATTAAATCTGGGGGTGGGGTTTTGAGCCAGTTTTTTCCACTGGTCACCAGCACCAAGAGGAAACGAGGTCCTTCCGTGCCAAGAACGAGGTCCGAGGTCCCGCCGAAGAGTGCGTGAAAGATGCCGTCTGTCGTGCCACTCCTGTCGCATCGATCGGTTGGGGAGACGCTCCAGGCGGAATCTCCCCGCATCGATGACTGCGGGGCGGAACTTTTTCCGACGAGACTGATCCGGGTTGCCCGCTATGGAGTGAGTACCTAGACAGGTTTTGAAGAGGAGCTTAGATGATAGATTTGTCATTATACTATACATTAGACATCATTAGACTATATCAGATTATTGAACATGACAGTCAATGAATGTTCTGAAAGCATATCCTCCCGCCACGAGACTGATTTTCTCCGGTCAACCCGGTGTGTCTCTTTCTTTCGAAGGCCACCTCTCGTGAGGGCGCAGCGCAGGTGACTCTGCTGCTGCCTTTGCTGGAGCTCCGGGAACGAAGCGGCCATCGACTGAAGATTTGCATTGGCCCTGGCTGACTTACCTTAAGGTACAAAGAGCTCGCCTATGTATAGATCCAAAAAGAGTGCAGCGGGTGCGTGCAGGGCGATGTACCAGAACTGGCGTGGGTCAGTTGGGTCGGTTGAGTGCCAACGGATCGATTTGCAAGAGAGATATGCACGGATCGTAGATGTTATTTTGCATTGTGCAAGAGATCGTGGCTAAATTGGGTGCCAAGTGGATCAACATGTTTCATGTCAGTGGATCAAGGATTGCTGATAAATCTCCTTAGGCTGCAGGCGCACAGTTTGCATGCACCCTGGGTCAGGAGAGCTCAGCTCGCTTGTCGTAGAACCAAACCGGTCCCGGCTGCCGGTCCTTGATAAGTCATGAGTCAGGACCAAGCAACATTGCAACTTTTTATACACTCAAAGCATCTCAAAAACAAGCTCGTTGGATGTTGCGATGACAATACTCAAAAAGATTTAACCGCACACACATTGACATGGACAATCATGGACATGTTGCTGCGTCATCCTTTCGCGAATTCCACGAGCTTTGACCCCTGGCCCAAGCGTTTCGCTCCGTCTCTTTCGCAGTCTGGGCGCGAGGCCACCGAGCGCCTTCAACGCGCGGGCTATGATGTCCTTGCAGGTGGGTGTTTCCTGGTGGTGAAGGTTCTCAGAGGAAGAGGAAGCTACACTCCCTGGAACTAACATGGAAGTGGAGTGAAAACCACGTCTGTTTGGTCTTCGGGTTTCATGTTCATCCGAGTCTTCGGGGCCGGGGGCGGAGTGTACCGCAGGTTTTGCCCAGGTCTTCCACTTGCGGTGTGGGTGATTTTCCGGGCCTAGGCCGCTGGATAACAAGTTACTACATACTATATATATATATATGTAATATAACGTCTTCTATAATGTTGTTTTTATCATGTTAGGGATGAACCAAATGGACCAAACAGACTGTGATGCCATGGATTGTTCGTATCGGTTCTACTCACCAAAGTATAGAACTTGTCACGGCCTCAATAAGGAGGTAGAAAGCCATGAACAGTGGCTGTACCCGTCGTTCCTTGTGTCATCAAATCAGCCAGGTGGAATGCATTTAATAACATATTTGGGCGGCGAAGGTTTTGGGGCAAAGCGTGGGCAACCCGTAAGATTGAGCCTCCCGGGATGCAATAATATATGGGTCCAGACTACGACGAGAGGCAGGTGGACTTTGGGTTCTCAGACTACGACGATAAGTTCTCAGACTACGGCTTGTCTTTTTGTTGGTCCAGCGCGGCTGATAGCCGATGGAGACAGTGAAGTTCCCAATAGAATAAACAGCGACTCTGATCAGGGAGGGAATTCCTGGGTACACGATTCCACAATGGAGGGAGAGACTTCTTTTCGCAAGTTCTGAACCATTTGTCGCAGTACTATTAAAACGTACGTAACAAAGATGCACAAAGTCTGTGGCATAGAGATGCAGTTTCTTTATGCTCTAGGAACCTTGAAGGGAACATGAATTTACAGCCCATAAAGTAACAAAGTATCCCTTGAACCAAAAACCGCAGAACCCGAGTTCTTCCGGTTTCGAATTCATTCCCCACCTGCCCACCTGCCAGGTTGGTTGGCGCCTTTGGCCAACTGCGGACACCTGTCACTGGGCACGTCCAGGTGGTGAAACGGGGGTGCCGATGTAGTGGTTCAGGACATCGATCCCCGACTGAAAAGCACAGTGAAATGAGAATTGGTGGACAACAGGCAAGCATGCGATTTGGAACGAAAGCTGCCAAGCTTCCAAGCTTCATTCATTTGGCTACTGCGAGGGGTGTGCAACTACTCCAGGGCTGAGGGTGCTAAGCTGCGCGTTCTTGTTTACCTTCTTGGTCCAATGTTGCGCTCACTGTCCTGCAAGAACGCGTTCCTCGGGAGAATGACAGACCAACCCGCACGCCATGTGTGTCTTCAAATCATGCCAAACCATTCATACATCATTCAACTTGGAGAACACACCAGAGAATAGATCCCAGAGCCACCCAGAGCCTCCCTGACACTGTTTGGGGCTTCCCCATCAGCTCCAAAGAGCTTGGGGTCCAGCCTCCCTTTGTGACGCCTGAGGTCCGCCAGCTTCCGGTTGAAGGCCCTGAGCGAGTTGAAGTCGAAGCTCCAGGCGACGGAGAAAGCGGAGATGGGCGGAGTCGGATGGAGGGTCGCTATAAGCACTCATGTAGGCCTATCATGGCTTATCCAAGTCCTACTTGTAAGCATACAGGATCATGCAGGAAAAAGCAGTCTGACAATCTATGACATGTATTTGTAACATATGGTTACGTCTAGTTCTAGTCTAGGCCAGTGTGTTTCGCCTTAGGCCTGAACACAACACCGGTCAGACCGCTCGTTCCCTGGGCGCCAAAAAGCCCCTCGCCCCGTCCGACCTCGGTGGGCTCTGAGTGCTCTGAGGTGTCGGAGTGGGCGGTGCGGAATGAGAAGACCAAGGAGATGGAGGCCCCGTCCAACACATTTGGCAATTCTAATAGCAAACATTGTTACTACTAGTCAGGCACTTGTTACGAGAAGCGATGCACTTGTTCCTAGAAGCTTCTTGTTACTAGTAAGGCACTTGTTACTACTAGCGTGGCACTTGTTACTAAGGCCGAAAGACCCCAAACATGGCCCTTGGGTTTCCTGCTTTTGGGCCCGAAGTGACCAGCCGATTCCGAGCGCACGCCTATCGGAGCTCTTTCGTTGTGCCGGAACGCTGGCGTTCTGTGGGTGGACAAGCAGGATGTCCAGCGATGATGCGTTCGATTGCGTTTCATGCTTGTGGTGGATGTGAGCATCAATGTGTGCACACTATGAAACAAGCATTGACCTATAAACAGTTATGCTGTCACGGTATGTTGGCTTTGAAGGAAATCAGAGCCCAGCTTGGTGCCGTTCAGAAGGGGCCTTTTGAAAAATCACACCCTGTGGTCTCGAGGCGATTTACAATACTTTTGACATCCTTTGACATTTCGATTGAGGAATGAGCAAGGAAATCCCGGTGAGCCTGGCTCATGTTGAATCATGTTGAATCCAGGTGATTGCCTTTCTTGCTTCATGAGCAAGACAATTACTTCTTCAGATCACTGAACGCTGTGGAATGGATGGTTATGGACCAGTGATGGGGCAGCAAACTGCAGCTGTGCTTTTTGTGTCACTGTGCTATTTGGGGTGCAACTCAAACTATCATAGAGGAAGCTGATATAAATTGGTGTTCACACCCCCTGGTAGACAAGACTCATCTTCAGGTAGTAGATACCCTGTGTGTTTCCCATTTTGGGGTATGTTCGTCGCCATCGGCGGACTGTCCTTCTCGCCCGCGCCGTCCTTCTCGCCCGCGGCCGTCCTTGTCGTCCAGGTGGTCCACGCCTTACGTGAAACGCTTCTGGAGGAGCGCATCGACTCGCGTTTCACGCAGCAACGATGCAGTCGTCCCTGTAGATCCAAGATGATCCCTACGTATCTTTTGAGAAGGTGAGGACGGGGACACTGTTCTGTAGGTGCCAGGAGGGTTCAAGCACCTTCTGAGAAGGTAATTACTTGGATCCATATAGGGAGTGCTTAAAGAGCTCCAGCAGCGAAGGGGAATGGTTTGCAGTCGAATTGTGTTGCACCCAGTTTTGTTCCGAGAACATGCGCTTTTTTTGAGCTTCCTTGCGGGGATAGAATTACGGCAGAACAGACAATTTGGTTGGTTGAAAGTCAAGCCCAGACTGTCCTCGACTCACCACACTATCTCTCGATGTCCTCTATATGACATTATTGTTAGTAAGTTAATGCATCCTCTCCTAAAATGTAACAACATGTAGACTAACAGTATCCAACAGTCTATAACATATTCAACATGACATATTTGAACTTGTTCAGAAAATTGCATGTCTAATTGCGTCCTCTCCAAGAGAAGCGTCGTCCGTTCACGTGTCGTGAAAAGCGTCCACCAAGGAGACCGGAACGAGCTCGAAGGCCTCTCCTCGAGTCCGGGTGCGCCGGCATAGGATTGGATGGATGGAGGGGGGAACGGATGGAGGGATGAAGGACATGTGCGAAAACTGCAGCATAAGATAGGATTTTGGAGGAAGAGAAGAGGCTTCCATGCTTATCCACAGATCTATCGATGGTGTCAATGATCCTGTTTTGAGAGATCTTTTGACTTGGATGAAAGGAACTAGCAGTTTCAATAAGCAACGGTAGGGCAGGTAGGCTGACACGTACGACTTCAAGTGCACGTACCAAACAAGTCGGAGGCTCATAAAGGAACCATGACTACACCTTATCGGAGTTCCATGATACCAGTGGTTCATGGGGAAGTTCCGTGGTGCCCAGCTGAAACCACTCAGTGGATGGGTCAGAAACCCGCCACGTCGGCTCCATCTGTCGCTTGGAAGACTCCAGGTGGTCGCCGTGTGCGGAGCGGATGAGATGAAGCGCTACAGCAGCCTCAAGCCACAGGCAGATTGACTCGGGGTTCGAATTCTGCTTTGAGCGAGATGAGATGACCCAAGTGCTGTCAATCTCCAACTCGCCTCGTCGTGAGTCGTGAACGACCGATTGCTTCAAGAAATCTCGTCTCGTTGTCTCGCTTCTCGGTTCGGTCCAGGGCAAAAACAGACCCGTCGACAGTCTCAACAGGGAGACTTCGCAGCTGAGAACCATCGACGATGGTTTTTCTCGACACGGAGAGAACAGGATGAACCGATACCACCAGGTTTAGTCGGTGCAAAGCAGGTGGACCTGGGTCTACTCTGCGGTCAAACCAGAGTAGATGGGAACAAGACAAAACCGTCTGAGCCTGCGGAGGCCATTGGGTCCGGGTGTTCTATCTTTTCAGTCAACAGAGACGTTTGGGTCTTGACCGTGAGGACATGCTGGGCCTTGTGGTGGTGCCACAGCCTGGAGATGAGGAGAGGGAGATCACGACCGGTCGCCACCCGTCGCCGACCCGTCTTCCAGCGACACTTCTCAATTGACCGGGTCAGACCGTTTGACCCGCACCTGAAGTGGTGGACCTCCCTAGTGGAGATGAACGGAGACTCCCCAAAAGCTGGCCCTTTGGATCCCTTTGGTATCCTTCGGTAGAATAAAATCCATGGCCATGGATGGATGATTACTAGACAAATTACAACCAAAAACACCCCTAACTCCCGTTACAACTCGTGTCCCACCCCTGCGGACGCAGCCACACGGAACTCGGGTCGCGTCCGGTGAGTGAGACGAGTCGACGCCAGCAGTGAGCCGACGGAGAGCCGACTTGGTGAGCCTTCACTTCGTGCAGCGAATGGTCATTCATCCAGTTGCTCCGGTTGGTCGGTTGCGCACGGGAGACCCCTCGGGGTCTGCCCTCCAAACGCGGTGGGTCGAGGAGACCTCAGAGCGCAGCGCAGCGATGGTTCGCGCAGGAGTTTTTACTGGAGAAGCCCCTTCAACAGATCTACATTGCAGAGGCATCGCAGTCCCAGGCGGATCTTGGCCGATTGGTGTCGTCTTTGTGCTTCGTCGTGTTTCATGTCACCCGGATGACCCGCATGTCGTGAGATACCAACAGGTGTGATGGGGTTGATCAGATAAAGTGACTTGATGACTTGATGCTTCGCTTTGTTCCACCTCAGTCCAGCGCTGATGTGGGGGATGTTGGCCACAGACGTTGCGCAACGACAGGATCATCCACGGAGACGATGCAGTAACCCAACATTAACCCAACCATGATGTCATGGTCATGGTGAGTTTCTTCTGAATCCGGAACATGAGACGTCTCACGACATATCATATGTCAATTATGTCATGTGTTTGCGCACCATTACGATATTAAACTATGAAACATTATGAAACCATGATAAACCATGGTTTATGTTTCACGATGTCCACTGGCAGCCGCACAACTCTTCCTTTTTCACCAGTTCAACATGCTGGACGGCAAGATCTTGGAGGAAGCGATCGCAGGTGACACCACGGACCGGGCGCGATCCCGTGGTCGGGCGCGCCCGTGGTCGGGGAGGGCACACGTACGCCGCATGGGATGGCCTTCACTGCGATGGGTGACGAATCCCCAAAGAACAGTGGGAGCCTCAGACGTCCCATGGCTAAGCAAATGGACCAAGCAAAAGAAGCCCCCACACATAATTAGAAGGCGGAACTGTTCCACTGACCGGTTTGAGTCGGGGTAGTCTCTCCCTAGTTTGAGCATGTTTTAGCCATGGGACCAATGAAGTGGCTTGACAACCTTCCGGCTTTTGTCCATGTGTCCAAGAAGTTGCCCGACTCTTGTGCTGCAAGGTGCTGGGTCAACCGGTAAACATCGGTAAACCTTCGTGTCATCGGTATCACATCGCCAAGTCTCATAGGGTTAGGGTGTTGTTAGCGGGGTACCGGACATTTTCATCGGTTTGGCGGCATGGTCATCTCTCTACACTGTCATGGCTTAAGGAACACTGTCTCATCGGTACCATAACATTGTCAGCCACTCACAGAACATCGTCATCAGCTTCACAAGTGGCTTCACATTATCACCCGGCTGCAGAACATGTGTGTTTCATGTCGTTCACAACATTGCCACCGGTGTCGCAGTTGTGTGTCTCGCCTGGAGCCACAGAACAGCCAATGCGCCCGTGGAGCTTGAAACTCCTCAATTCCAAGACGGCCTTCTAAGCCCATGGTGTTTTGTTGACGTTTCGATGGTGACTTCGGCCAGGGCCCTGCTTTACCCAACATGCAGTAATTGTGTTAGCCGGGAGCAGGGGCCAGCACACGAGAGAACAGTCGTTAGACGTTAGATAACGTTAGTTTGTTAGGCCAGTGCCCCTTTACTTAGTCCTTATACTATCTTATTATACTTACCATTTGCTTCCATGCGATTTGCACGCATTTCTTCATTCATGGAAAGTGTGTCCTTCTCAAAAGCTTGTTTTGCTTCCGATGATTTGGATACATGATGATACATGATACATGATACATTTGGCGACCTTGTCGGGCAAAGTCGACCTATAGCCCGACATGGTTGCACTGTTGCACTTTGTTGGTCCTTCGTCAACACCAGGTGGCGACATGGCCTTTGTGAACCAGGCAAAGTCCCAGACAGTGTGGAGCTGAAGCGCAGGTTGTTTGAGGGCATTTACATGATAGGCTGTTACGGCCGAAGAAAAAGGCATCCTGTAGCCTGTAGCATCCTGTAGCTACCTGGGTCTTCATTCTCCTGCTTTTTTTTCCAGGAGTTTAGGACAATCAGTTGTTCCAATTGGAAAACAGTAAAGTAGGTCGTTTCCAGAAGAAACCAGTTGTATTTCTTAGACTATGATTCATGATGTTCTACACATGCCAGCGCCCTGCACCCTCCTCTCCGGACACCCCCACCCACTGGTGCACAGCTGATGCGCACCATTCACCGACTTCCTGGAGATCATTTTCCCCGAGCACGTCGGGAAACTCAGCTTTGCAGCCTGTTGAATTGGAGCTTATAGCGGCCTAAAATTTTTTGGATGCAGCGTATTGCCTGTGAAAGTGGTGCACCCCCACAGCTTCTTGACAAGCGGCTGCACTTGCCTATAAAATCTTCATCGCTCCATGTTGAAGCGTTGATTGGGTTCAGTCCCCATTCACAATCACCATAACCATCACAACCGGTGTTCTGGAAAGGCAACTCCATAAACATATGAAGCTTTGGTTTGATCCGGAACATGAGGTATCCAGACGCAGCTTGCATAGCTGCCAGTTGTCCATACCCCTGGCAGAATCTGACAGCGAGGTGGTTTGTTTCCTGCTGCTGGGCCCGTGTCAGCCACAATCCCCACCTGTGAAGATTCTTAAAGAATCTATCGGCGGTCTGGAGGGTGTGAACGGCAACTCGAAGTTCATTGTCATGCGAGAAGTCCTGTGTTGGTGTTGGGAGACTGTTAGGTGAAAAGAAACCTACAGCCTATAATTCAATTTAACATGCGTACCCACAGCCCTGGGTTCAGTTGACAGTGACACAAAGAGTTTGGCCATAGCCCACCTTGTCGGACATAAAGGCAACCAGCCATTGCAGAACAAGAACAGTATCAAAGCCCTTTCCATTGATTGACGTTGGATAATCATTGGTACTGCTCATATCGAACTTTCTCCACGACCAAAGGCTGCATGCAGTTGTTTTGCCCTGACTAGAGCACGAGCCCATGTATTCATCATAGGCCAGTTCCAAACGGCTGTCAAAAGAACCTTGCCCCCACATGCCTTTGCGACAACACATCACAATCAAAGACGCGGCGAAGTCCACACCCACACCGTGGATGTGGAAGCTGTGCGTGCTGTCAACCAAAATGGTTCTTGGTCCAGCTGACGGCAAATCAAGGAATGGGCTGCGCTCGCCCCCCTTGAAAGGAGAAGGGCCAGGTCGTAGCCTTCGGGTCTCGGCCTCCTCACTGAAGTCAAACCAGTCCTGCCAGAACTCAACACACCTTGAACTAGACAACAGGGGTCCTACACATGGCTTTTGTTTTATCAACAGACAACTGGGTAACATGTGATTGAAGCATTCGAACACCCCCACCAGTATCCTGACTGTCACACAAGTGACATTTTCTGAGGCAGTTCCATCCCGTGGACAGTCGCCATACCTCACTATCAGGTGGGCCGCCGGTGGGTTGGCTGGAAGAGCAAACCGTTATATATTATAGCCTTTATAAAACAATAATGTGAGGGTTTCACTGGAAGAAAGTCCTTCTAGGTGGACAACTTGGTGAATGCAACTCAACCAAGGTGCGTGTCTCAAATACTTCCAGTCACCCTTGCATCCAACCCAAACCAGATACATGGTGGTGGTCGGATCACCAGGCACCACCTGTCAACCAAGGTGCTCCAAGTCTCTAGGTTTACTTGACACTGACCTACTTTGTCAAGTCCACGAGGGTAAAACATACACAACTATAACTTAGAAACTCGCCTGAAACCCTTCGTGAAAAAGCTCCAGCAGCTCTTCAGTCCAAGCCCGGTTGATTTGCATCAAGGTTTTCTCGCCGCAAAAGGCAGATGCCGACATGCAGGTGTACAGAAACCTGCTGCAGAAAGATTCCCTCAGAAGTTGTCCAGCCCCTCGCAGCAAACAAAGGAACCCTTTTCTACCAATTACTCCAGCATAGACCCCAGATAGCAAAAGCATGCGAAAGATTTTTCTAGGCTGCATTGGCAGCAGCTCCAATTTTTACAGCGTGGCGTGTCTCCACTATACGCGAGCATCCGGCACCTCACAGCACCAGCACCGGCGCCCAGCACCCAGCCAGCACCGGCACCGTGTCTCCACCACGTGCGCAGCCAGCTCACGTGCGCAGCAAGCTCGCAGCACCGGCGCCCAGCACCCTGTCTCCACCACGCGCACAGCCAGCCCCCGGCACGCGCGCGGCCAGCTCACAACACCGCGCACAGCCAGCTCACAGCACCAGCACCAGCGCCCAGCACCAGCACCAGCAACCTGTCTCCCACCACGTGCATGGCCAGCTCACAGCACCACACCAGCACCGGCGCCCGGCACCACCAGCACCGGCGCCCGGCACCCAGCACCAGCACCAGCACCAGCAACCTGTCTCCACCACGCGCGCAGCCAGCTCACAGCACCAGCGCCAGCACCGGCACCCGGCACCCAGCACCAGCAACCTGTCTCCACCACGTGCGCAGCCAGCTCACAGCACCAGCGTGCACAGCCAGCTCACAGCACCAGCACCGGCACCCGGCACCAGCACCAGCAACCTGTCTCGAAAGCGCGCACGGGCAACTCGTTGTTATTTGAAGTAAGAATCCCATAGCTTCGCTATCTGGTGAAAAAACATACAAAAAACATGTTATTGGTCTAAACAAACCGAAGCACCCAGATACTGCAGTGCAATGGGTTCCCAAGAAGGAGCAACAAGGCTGCCAACTTTGCACCATAAAGGGGATCCTGCGGTGAGATACCCCTTCATCCCCGTGGGTCATTATGGGGATGCACTGACTCCAAGGTTTGCCACTTCGGTAGATCTCGTGGTCCTTGCTCATGGATCGGAATCGATACCAAAAGGATTCAAACATCGATCTCCATACAACAGAGTTCTTCAGGTCGTGGCCTCCAAGAAGTAGGCTCGGGTGGTTCTCAAAAATGAACTTACACCAAGACCTGACACTCAGCGTAGGCCAGTGTAAGTCCACATTATGAGGCTTTGGCTTCTTCTTCTTCACTGTGACCCGAGTAAAACTCACGTGGATGTCTATCGAGGCTCCAAAGTTATGAATGAGCGTAGCGAGATCTCTGCAAGAATTCTTGTTGCGGCTGCACTGGGCAAGCTTCCAGAGTAAGTCGTCTGACTTCCCTGGGCGCACAGCTTACTTAAAGGCCAGGACATGTTCATATGGAATCCCATCAACCCACCCACGACCTACAGGACCCCACAGAATAAATTACTGGCTTGTACAAACCAGGGCTCGGTGTTTCCGAAGACGGCAAATTCTGCTGGCAGACGCTGCAACTTGCTTCGCAGTTGTGGCCTTACACCATCCAATTCAGATTGAAGGCTTTTTATAGGTTCAACTCAAAAGGCACTGTTCATGGCAACGGCGTTAATGTGTCAGCCAAAGTACTCCTTCGAAGTAGTCCGCCAGCAGCTCGCTAGCAACCATATCAGACTCTTCATTGTCAAAGTTCTCCGGTTGACCTGATCAAAGTCATCGAACTGTAAAGTGTTGGTAAAACATGCAACCAAATCATGATATATACCGGAGTGTTCCAATTTGCATACAGCCAAAGGGCTCGCTGAGGGAAAAACAAAGCTTTCACCCTGGGGCTCGAGGGAACCTGGCAAGCAATCACACCACTACCACGTCAAAGTGTTGGGCGGACTGCAGGGGCACTCACAACTGCACGCAGCCCCTTTTTTCTCTAGGGCCACCGGAGGTGTAGCTTCAAAAGCACCAATAGTCGGCAAGGTGCATCTCTACCACATCAAAAAACAAAACTTGGGCTGACAGGACGACAGGTCTCTTACTTCTTCTTTCTCTTCGTCTTCGGTGCATCTTGCTGCTCTTCTTTCTGTTTCTTTGCTTTTCTCTTTTTGGATGGTTTGGCACCACCTTCACCCTCACCCTCACACTCATCCGCTTCCGCGTCAGGGGCGTGCTCATCCTTGGAGCGCTTGCGAGTCTTCCCGGAAGCTTTGGCCTTAGCCTTGGGCATTTTGCAATTCCTGACCACGCATTTTGATATATGATGTGCAAAGGGCAAGCAGTTGACAAAGTACACACATCTCACAAGAGCAAAACCGTGAAAACTAGAGGAACAACGGCCGATACAGCTAGCGCACTTCAGTCTGAGAAACCTTTGGCGGGGTTTGCAGACACGGACCTTTCACCACAGGTAAATGCAATACAAGTCTCTCCGTAAGAGTCAAGCGCAAGCATTTTTGAGCAGCGGACTGATGAGCTTTTCTTCCACAGCCTGCCATAGACAACTGTGACATTTATACATATGTCACACGAGACACACACATATGCAGAATTCACTTTTGTTTTTTACAAAGGCGCTCAAGGGTGGCTCTCAAACCATTCTAGCAAATCTGCACGCGGCCTTGGCGACAGGAGATGGCGTGTGGATCCGAGATGCTTCACCCTGATCAGCCAGGCAAGCAGATCTACAGAGAAATCCGGGAACAGTGAAGAGTGAAGGAAACAAAATCACTGTCCTTCTCCAGAGAATGACCAGGATGTTCAGGGCCGCGCTCTTCAACCTACCAGGAACTACCAACCAATTGACTCAATTGATGGCGCTGCGTACTTGCCAAGAGAACTTGATAGGACACAAAACAAAAAATCCAATAGGATCCTAGCTTGTGTTGGCACTTCCCCCCTTTGCTTGGTCAAAGCATGTGCCATGATGCAAGAACTGCGGGTGCCAAATGAACACGGATTTGGGGCCTGCATTTCTTGCATCATGGCGTGCGCCCCTTACCAAACATAGTGCACTGGCCTCCTCGGGTTTGTTGGTTGGAGCCGCCAGGTGAAGGTTGCCAAAGTCATCCGTCAAACCTAAAGGTTCCGGGAAGCACGGGCTTCAACATGAAAGTTTCAAAGCCTCCTGTCAAGTAACCTGTGTGTAGGTCTTCTAGTACCTCATCTTCTGTTCCAGCTTCGCTTTCAGATCCCTCTTCCTCTTGGTCTGAACCGGATTCCTCCGCAGGAACCTCTTTATGTGGCAGTTTGATGTTGAGAGCCCCAATCAACCACCTAATCTCTGGCTCCCGGGGAGTGTGAGGTCTTCTGATGATATCGTTGAAGAGCGTAACGCATCGCCGCGCGGTCCAGGCCAGCTTGGTGATGGTGTTGCCTCACGAGCGCGCTCAAGGCTCAATGGAAAAACTTGGAGAAGCGAGCAGTGAACACGCATGGAAATAAAATCCAACTATATATATATTATATATATACTAGCTTTAGGCAAGATACTACTGCAGGGTATCTTGCAATACCGAAAGAAGCTATCGATATGAAGCTCAAGAGTGGGAACAGCCACTCGATAACCCAAGTGTGTGATTGTGATCTTCAAGAACTTGACATTTTGCCGAACTGTGTCCCGGCAAACGATAGATCCAGTAGTCTTCACCTGAGTGCAAGGGCAAGCCCATGCCAAAGGGCCAAAGCGATATCGGGATATTTCTCACACTTAATTAGTGCAGTGACGTTTTCCCCTGAAGCCACCAAAAGGCCTGAGCACCACACTAATTGGAACGTTTTGGCAGCACGCCGAAGTTGAACACAATTCTCCCAAGCTTTTGCAAGTGGTGTTGCTTGGAGTTCATCTGGGTCCGCATCGAGATCAAGAAACGAAGCGTTTCCAGCCATGCTACTACCAGTGGCCTTTGCAAAGTGAGCCAAAACTTCTGGTTTGGACGGATGACCATGGGTGTGCTCGTGCAACACCTCCCAACACTGCATTCATGCATGCGGGACAGGCATCGACATTGAAAGTCTCGGGCTCGCCTCGTCTCATTGGAAGGTGGACGCCACCGACCTGCCGCACGGATCAGATCCGGAAAGATGCTGGGCAACTTGGCCGGAACCCCCTAGCACAGACCTAGGAGATGTAAGCAGATCCACCACCAGACTAGATGTAAAACAAAAATACATGGCTGGTGAAGGTTTCAATCCAATCAGACTCTTTTGACCCGGCCTCCACGTCACCAGAGCCCAGCCCCCTCAGCCATGTGAGAACCTGTGGGCGCTGAGCATCCGAGGATATGGGCAGCACACCGACCAGCGAATGACATGCAGATGTCAATGCGATGAAAGATGATCCCAGCCCGCCTGTGATCTTCACCACGGCCATAGGGCATGGATGAGCCAAAAGAATGGCTTTTGGCAGTCTGATCACCTCAAACCCTGAAAAACAACACTTTCAGGAGAGTTAGTTGTTTCCAACCAAAAGCAGTGAAGTTAGACAAACTCGAGAACTACTGGAAAAAATGCATCGTTCGAAGATCTAGGTAGATATGAGACGATTCCCAAACAATTCTTTAAACATGATGCTCAACTAGTTTCAAGGGGTGTATCGGTTTATCTCTCGATCAATGTTCTTTCCACAAATTCATGTTTGTTGCTAATTATATTAATTGTTACTAATTCTGTTCCTGTAACCAGCCACATCCACCCAATTGGTGCGGTGCGTCAGTGGACCATAGGGTGGGAGTGTTCTTCAGATGAGGCAGGCAACAGGAACAGCTGATAAGGCAACCCTTATGGTATAGTCATTTGGATCATTTGGCGTGTCCAAATCATTGCCTTCGTCTTCGCCCAAACCCTTCCGGAAGCCCGCAGTCTCGACCCGGTCACGTCAGAGTTGGATCGAGGGGCTTGGGAAATGGAGGCGAACAACCCACAGTTTGCCCAAATCTCCGAGGAAAAACCTGACACAATGGATGACAACACAGCAAGAGAAGAATGCTTCTAGGAGCCAGGTCACCGCGACATGGTTCTTCTCAGGGTCCTTCTGATTCATGTCTTTTGGAGCCGCGCAGGCTTTGCCACCTGATGTGAATCGCTTGGCGCTTTTCCCCACCCTGCAGGCCGCCGCAGGTTCTGTTCTCGGGTTTGATTCATAGGGGTCACGACACGACTGTCGGACGTGACACGATCCTGTACCACTTGAGGTGCACCAAAGCCACGATTGGATATGATGGTATTTCTATAATATGGTATAAGATCTGGATATTCCGACATTATGTGTCAGGTGCATAGCAATAGTTGGCCAGATCTAGAAAGAAACACTCCAAGTTTCCACAATAAGGAAACAGCCTCAGATACTGTACACTAATTCTTGGTCATCACCTGGGATGTTGAGCAGTGGACTTGATGCATTTTTAAAATTTAAGACTGCTGACTACTGCCCTGTTGGGTCGCAAGAGAGAAACAAGTGACAATGTCGTCTCAATTATAGTTGCATGGCAGAGTTTGTTTGTTTCCGCTTTTGCCGGCAAGAGCTGTTTTCAGTCTTGGTTCCTTACGGTCGAAATAGGAGCATCCTTCTGGAGCCATAGGACCCCCTTGACCCCCGGCCAGTTGCGGTGAACTGACCAGATCTCTCAGGAGCAGCAGGACTTCGGCTTCGACCTGGCGAAGTTGGAAACACAGGCGCCGCTTCGACCTCGCGTGGCACGAGAGCGTGGAGAGCGTGGCCATCGATGGAGATGCAGAGCTTGGTCCAGTTAGGTGTGCCGCAGGACCGGGAAAATGTAGCAACGTGAAGTTGTCCAGAAAGTCTGCAGTTCTCGCACTCAGGCCAAGGACCCATCTTCAAATTCCCACGGTTTAGTGATTCTTTTGTGTGTCCAATCAAATCAAAAGCGAATCTGATGATTGCTTGAAAGGCTTCACCAACAGATTTAGCATGGGGTTTCATCGTATAAACGCCTGCCTTGGCTGGTTGGAACATGCAGAACACCAAGTGTTTGGACCTGTTGGACCAACTTGCCAGGCCCGCAGGTCCGGTTTCTCAGACCAACCAACAGACCGACCGGTCGATCGCAGGTTCCAGATGGCCCTTGGCCAGCAGCAAAGCTCATGAAAAAGCTGGTGAGCATTGCACCCGAGGCAGTTAAGGGGCCGTTTTGTGTGGCATGTGTGGCCGTTTTTCTTTCTTGAATCAATGAATCAATGTTCATCCTCAGTCAGACGTTTGGTTGAAGACGTAATTCATGGACGCAAGTTCTTTTTTTTTATGTCCGCCGTTCATTGGTTTCAACCTCTCTCAAAATATAGAGATATATAAATTAAATATATCTATAATTAAACAACAACAGATCATCATTTGGTTCGTGAATATGCCGTAGCACAGCAAGGATTCCGCCCATGAGCTGTGCTCAGTTCTGGTCCAGGTTCTGCATTTGCTTTTTGTTCAACAATGCAAAGAGCCTGTGCTGTGCTGTGTTGTTGCGCGCAGGCTCAGGGTGCTCACACTTGGGCACTGCTCATACTCAGCGATGCCATGGTCCCTGCCATGAAATACCACCTGGACCTCCTGGCCAAGGCAGTGCTGCGGGGCGCAGCTCACCACGGCAACAGTGCCCACCGAGCGAGCTTTTTGTGAGGAAAAAAGGGGGTGTTGGAGTAGAAGAAAATGCCAACCAGATGATTTCAAGTGTTTTGGAACTAGACAAGGACTAGCTATGTCAAGCAAGCAAAGCTGATACAACTGATACAGCCGATGCGCCTGACTTGGTGGAAAATTCCGTGGCCTGGCCAGGCCTAACGTGTTTGAAATCCCTGTGCGCATTGCCTCTACGGAATGCGACGGGTTGACTCCTGAGAAAGGCAATCATTGTGTAATTACATAGAACTTTTCTGGGTGAAATGAGGTTTGGCATTTGTAAAGGGATAAACTGATAGCCAACAGCGTGCTGGTTTGCAAACATGTGGTTTTGTATGTGGTATTCCTGTTCAAGGTGGGACCAATTGTGTAGAAAACATTTCAGTTTGTTGAGAAACATGTGCGCAGGGGGAAGAAATGGGGGAAGACGGTTTCATGATTCCAAAGGTCTTTACAGAATGGGTCTCTCTACAGATTTGGTTTGAGTAGTTTGTCATGCCTTTTATTGCCTTTTTAATAAGATTTGTGTTGGCTTGAACAAGTTGCACCTCTACAGTGCATTTTGATGCATGTTGTTTCTTCTTTTCAGAGCACTCGTCCGCTGTCCTGTCCTCTCTGGAAGTTTGCCATGTTGTAGTCAGTGAAAATGGTTCACTGTCCCCTTGCACCATGCATTCTGTAGACTTTTTTTCACCGGAATGTTTTTTTTGTAGACACCTTGAGGTACAGTACTCTTTTTTCGTGTTAAATTACAGAATGGCAACCACAACCTCACCCCTCTACGCTCATCTCCGGCCAGGCAAGAGCGAGACTTGAGAAGCGGGGCTATTGTGTGGCTATCTCAGCCCAGCTCAGTTGCTTCAGGTGGCCAGGTCAGCCCTGCCTGCTCATGTATCATGTGTGTGTTGCCGCTGAGCTGCTCTTTTGTGAAGTTCCCTGGCAGATCGAATGATGTGTTTTTTGCTCCATCCGCAGCAAATTGGCTCCATCCAAGTGGTTTGTTTGATTCTCATTGCATCGTGGCTCTTGTAGTCATTGTTGTCACCTCCATCTTCCTTTGCACTCGGTCACCACCTTGACAATGTGGTCTGCTGCAAGTACAACTTGAAGACTCGAAGGCAAGTACCAGCTGGTTTGACCTGGAAAAAAGAAACAAAGTATTTGCAATGGGACAGCTAGCATAGACTTCTTAAATGCAAGAGATGTAGATGGTGTTGGGAAAGACCGTGGTGCGGAGCACTGGAGGTCAAAAGAAGCTTGCCATCATATACGCACATCATGTACACAGCTCAGACCGTGTTTGTGCCTTGGCATTCTCAGGCACTGAGGTCGATTTAAAGGACGTGCAGGTAGATGCTGCGGCTGTCCCAAATTGCGGGTGGTGCAAGGTGCCAAGCCTGCACTCAGGTTTTGCTACGGCCATGAAAGATTACTTGCGTCGTGGGGGCGAAAACCAGGTGAAGACATTGATCACAAACAAGAGATGCAAGGATGGCATCATTGCTGTTGGTCACACGCTTTGGGTGGTGCAGAGGCAACTTTGCGCCAACAGCAGGAATGGATGGCTTAATTATAAATAATAAATATTTTATGGAACAATTTCTTCACCCACGATGATGACCAACCAATGCTACTCGATTTGCCACAAAGACCAAGAACATGGCTATTGCAAATCCACCCACACAAATCCTTTGCCAAGTTGCGGGAAATTCAAGTCGAAGGCCAGACGTCACCATCAGGCTGTTGCCGGTTTGCTTCGGCGGAAAAGGCGTCTTTGGAGCGCCTCCGATCTCGACCACCCAGCTCCAGAATTACAGGAGTGGTGACCTGTGCTTCAAGGGTACCAGGCTCTTCAACTATGACGATGCGCCAACTGCTGCGGTCCCTACCTTGGCAACTGTATTGGTTTCGAGACACCCAAAGGTGGAGGCCATTGCGTCTCAGAAAGCAAGGAGAGTTTTTCAGGCTGTCCACGTGCCGTGCCACGATGCGAGTCGCAGGGGCTCCGTCCTCATGGCTTGGTGCAGCGAATCTGTCGCAACGAATGGGATTGGTGGGCTTGCCTACTCTATGGCTCCCTCAATGAAGTTTACAGCAGCACGTACTCGATGACCACTTACCTGAGCCGTGTCAAGAAGTGAATACCCAAATGCAAGCAAGTGTGCCACGTGGACAACTGTGTTGGGACGCCAACCAATCCAATTCCTTGGCACCTTTGTTCAGGGGGTGAGAAGTGGGAAAAGAAGACTCCCAAGCAAACTCATCGGGGATGCTGCCGGGGTTACCGTGGTGCATGCGACCTGTGCTGCTAAGTGTGCAAAAGAAGGCGGCTGCCTGGTTCACGAGAACATGTTTATCGTTTTTTTTGCACAGGTCTTGTACCCACTGAACTCTGGTGTACAAGTGGACTACAAGGTAATGTGTGTGTTCTGCGGACAACGGTTCAACCGAGGTCATTGGCATGTGGCTCTCGTGCCTCAGAAGCAACTAGCTGTCCAGACATACTTAAAAGCTTCATTGTTACTAGTTGCTAGTAACGATGGCCTCCACCTAATACTTAGCGTCCTTGCTACTAGTTAGTAGCGATGGCCTCCACCCTAGTAGCTTCTTGTTACTAGTAGCGATGGCCTTCAACCTAATAGCGATGGCCTCCACCTAGTAGCTTCTAGTTGCTAAGAAGCTTCAAAGACATAGCATTTCCAGAAATTGATGACATCATGTCAACGTCATGAGTTTCTTCGCGGCTGACGGGTTCGAGAGTCGTAGAGTCCAAGTGCCCGATCGCACGGCAGTCACAGTCATTGTGAATACTTGGAGAGTTGAGGCCCTGGAGCGTCTTCCTGCCTTGCTTGGCTTGAACATGTTCAACATGAGCATGCTGAGATGAGAGTGCCATCGACAGCAATCCTGTTGATTGGGACATGTGACATGGGGAAACTCGCTATGTAGTGACTCCAGTCCCTAGATCTACTTGAACAACTCGCAAACGAACCAGTGTTTGGTCAGGAAGCACATCCCGCTCATGAATCAACATGCAAATGCAGAAGTTGTTTTATGGGGACTTCAACACGCACCCGTGCGGCTCATGCCTGTATTTTATGGGCTCGCACCTTGCTCCAACAGGTCATTGAATGTGATACAATAGTTCAACAATAGATTATATGAGCACGCATTAAATATAGGATAGGATCTCATATGGCTTCTCATATGTTTATACTATTTCTACTATACTAGATTATTGTAGGATTAGACATATTTTCTCATTGCGGGATTGCTCAAAACTTACAACAATATTCCAGGCATCAAATCAAAACACCGCCGACCTAGATTTCATTTCATTAAAAGTGAGTCTCAAGGTCCAAGGTTACACATGCTGTCATATTACAACGTAAACACAATGCCTAATTGAAATGAGTCCTTCGCGGACTCATTGCCAGGAAAGTAAGCTCAAGAACGGTGAACTGCGGGGAACCTCAAAGGGTTTGTCGACAGACCTTTGCGCAACATCAAGCACCAGTGCCAGGGCTGTCTTGTGGAGGAAATGAGCAGCGATCAGAGACGAGGTTGTTCCACGAGGTCGATCATTTCAGCCAATATTTGCAGCTTTTGGTCCGCCACAGTGAGGGAGATTCTTGAAATGAGATACGTCACAAGAATAGGCAACAATCCAGCAGGCGATGCAGATGATGTATCATTTTGCGCTACTGGACTGGAAGGTATTCATTCTTTAAACCTTGAGGTTACCGGTTGATTTGTTTCTTTGTTCAGACTTTCCACGATTATCCTCTCAACTGTGGGACCGCATGCCAGTATATTGCACCCCAACAGGGGCGAAGGCTCATAAATCCAAGTTCAATGATTTCCTGGATCACCACACCAGCAAGTGCTTGCCATTGCATCATTGCCTGGATCTTCCCAGTGACCTTTTGATCCCCTGGTTTGAGGTCGCTCGAACAGGCTTGTAAAAGGTCACTGGGAAGGTCCTGGTGGTGGTGCTTGTTCGCCACCGAAGATTTCGCTCCGCTCAGCGTCGCTTGGCCCCGAGGAGCCGGGAGTTTCGTGCACGTGCAGCCAAGCTGTTGGCACCGTGGCGGAGAGGATGTATGACTTTTGGAGTCAAAGACTAGTGACTAGAGGGCCATGTCAGAACCAATGGTGCCCCACAGGTAGGAAAGAGTCTCTTTTCAGGAATAGATGAATATGATATAATATGATATTGCGACACATCGTGTGTGTTTTTTTTGCCAGAAATGATGGAGCTCTTTGAGTTATTGGGTGTCCACCGCGCCACGGGTGTCGTGTCGTGTGCTTTGCCTGCTCTCAGGTGTCCACCGACGAACTGACCATGGTGAGCACGTGGGAGCTCCATCATGAGGGGCCCGGCTCCTGGTGCTCGTGCTGTACGGGAAAAACGAGTCATGCCGACGTTGGTCGGACGGTGGGAGTTCTTTTTATCCCAGAAGACATGGAGTCCCCAGGAGGGACACAGCATCCGTTTCTATCCAAAACGGAGCCTAAAGAAAGCATGCCTTGATTGGAATCTAATCTGGTCAGAAGCCCTCCCTATATTACAGCCGAAACGAACTGAAAGGTCGAGATATGTTGTGATGGTGCAATTGGCAGGGCCCGGAAAACGAGCATTTGGCCCTTTTTCCTCAAACGAGCACGGCACCGGCACCGGCGGCCCGCTTGCCCCCGGTGCCCAGGAAGCCAAGTGCAGCAGAGGCAGGGGAGGGAAGACTCGCAGCTCCAGTCCCCGTGTGGGTCGACCGTTGGACAACATGGGCAACGACGTGGAGGGGATTGGGGTGAGACTGCCGAAAAGGACAGGGACCTTTGAGAATCTTCCAGACGGTGATGACAGCAAGTGGAATGAATGCTCTTTACTAAGTTCTAAGTGCAGCTTCATGTCCATCTTCGCAGAAAGAAGTAAAACATCGTAAAACTATTTGCTGCAATCCATTCTGATTCTAGTCCTTCATCTAGAAACCGTCATTTGATGGTCATTCATGTTCGCTTGTCCGCTCCGCAGCAACGATTTTTGAAGGATAAAACATCGAAGCTCCCGTGCTTTCACTGTTGTCCATTCCACGACTTCCCTCTTGAGATCAGCGTCTCAGCTAATCACGTCTCAGCGACTACAGCCGTGGCCATAACCGCCCAGCCGCCCTGTTTTGTTTTCAAGCCGCGGCGTAGCTTGAGAAGACGGCGAGTTGGAGCCTCAGTCTTGATTGCAAAATGTCAAATTCAGTTGAGAGTTATGAAAAACACAAACATATTTCTGGTTAATTTCAGTGGCTTCAACTTCTACATGCGTTTAACATTTAAAGCCATGCCCTGGAGACACCCACCCACAGAAATCCCCTTGATCATCTAAGAGTCTACACAGTATCATGGAATCATGGAAGCGGAACCGCTGGTTCGGAACACCTGTCCTCTCGGTCATCCTATCCGATCCTATCCACTTCTCGGCCTTAGTGGAGTTTCTTCCCCCCATCCAAGGAGCATATGTTTTTAGGGAAAAAACTACTAGCAAATGGCCTCCACCCTAGTAACGATGGCCTCCACCCTAGTAGCGATGGCCTCCACCCTAGTAGCGATGGCCTTGAACGTTGCTCATCACCATGTTCGCCACCACCGTTCACCGCAAAGGGGGTGAACCGCCGACCATCATATCGATGTGCGTCAAAGCCCTAAACACATCCCAATTTCACGGATTCCACCGATTCCACGCACACGAGAGGCCAAGATTCATTCCTGCTTCTGTTTTGGGTGATTTGCTTCCTTTGCTGAAGGCTTCCACTTTTTCACCCAACACATAAACCATCCAGCAAAGCACACAACCTTCCTTCCGCCTCACCGCCTCAACAACGTTTCTACTTCGCGTCAGGCCATGATCTATCAGCCTGGCCAGGGGCTCAGCTCCGAGGCCATCGCGCGGCTGCGCGGACGCAAGGCGCGTGTCTTCGGTTCCGGTCCGCCGGTCGCGACCGCGAAGACGGAAGGATGAAGGAAGGAGTCCGATCCGGCGTTCCACTTTTGAGACTCTTGGGCCTTGGTTGGGAAATACATCTCTATACATCTCTATACGAATTACATGTAAGACATTTTGAGGCATACGTGAAGATGCAGTATATGACCATTGGTGGAGGAACTCCCATGATTGTGTACGTATACATGTGCACAGTATACGTTGGAGGCCATCGATACTAGGTTGGAGGCCCACTTACATAATACATGTGTAATAGTATATATACATGATTATACATGTGGGCCTTTATATATATATATACCTTATACATGTGTAGTACATGTGTATATAGTATAATTTGTTTACCTTGTCAGAATTGACTCACAGAAAGTTGCCGCGATGCCAAAGGTGCGTAGTAATGCTTTTTCCATCTGTAGACTCTTGACATCTCTTGACTCATACTCTCCCCAGTATGAATAGGTTTGACCATCTAAATGGGGTGGGGTTGATCATATAAAGGGTCTACAGTCCAGGATCCCCAGGGTAGAAATTGGAAGATGCCGTCCCATTCATGGACCATGCACTGCCATGTACCGACAGAATCTGGGGCTGTTTGTTTGGAAGAGTGACCAAAGTATTCATTGACACGCGAACATGGAAGTGAAACAAGGCATGTTGGTAAGGGAGCGTCTCGTCTTCCCCAGGAGGGGTTATCAAGAGCTACGAACGGGGCTCCTGGCCTTACTACTAGGAGAAAGGACGCTACTAGGGGCTCCTGGCATCGCTACTACGAGCATTCTTACTACTAGGAACAAGAACGCTACTTGTAACAAGGGCATCGCTACTAGGAGCAAGGATGCTACGAACGGGGGTTCATCAATCAAGAATCCTCTTCAGGCGTCCCGGACCACTCTTGGGTTAAGCCAGGACTCCGTGACCACGGTCTTCAGTGATCTGCCGGCTCAGGACTCTTCGGGTGTGTCCCGCGTTAAAAGACTGTCAAGTATAACATGATCACATCATATGAATCATATATATATATATACTAATATATACTATATATAATATTGATGACCATGCTACTACTAAGCGTCATCATCCACTGTTACTGGATTACTGGTCATGGGATGTACCCAAGCTGTTCCTCAGTCTCTCTTAATAATCTTTGAG